CCTCCTCCACGGGGACCACCCAGGGGGTCTCCACCCCCACCCGTGTGACAGGTGCCTCCTCCACGGGGACCACCCAGGGGGTCTCCGCCCCCACCCGTGTGACAGGTGCCTCCTCCACGGGGACCACGCAGAGTGTCTCCACCCCCACCCGTGTGACAGGTCCCTTCTCCCCTGGGACCACCGAGAGCGTCTCCACCCCTAGTCCCTCTGCCTTCCCGGGGTCCCCACCCATGACCACCAAGACAGGCTTGCCCAGTGTCTCTCCTACAGGTCCCCTTTTGACTTCCCCCATATCGACCGCCCCCGGGTCCCCACCCACCACCCCTTCCTGGTCTGGGGTGACCTCTGGCAGCCCGGGGACCTTCTCCATCTCCACCGCCTCTCCCAGCCCCACCACAGCCTGCCTTTGCCATGCCTTTGGAAAGCTCTTCCTACCAGGTGAGTGGAGCCCTGCAGCCTGGACGCTGGGTCCTGTGGGCCGTGTTCATGTGCCTGCCTGTCCGGGGATGCCCTCCTGTCCCCCCTCCCTGGCTGACCCAGTGTCTCTGTATTCGTAGGGGACATCATCTACAACAAGACCGACGGAGCCGGCTGCCACTTCTTAGCCATCTGCAACCAGCGCTGCGACATCGACCGCTTCCAGGGCACCTGCCCCACCTTCTCACCCTCGGGGACCTCGGCCTCTGTTCCCCCAACCACCCCAGTTACCGGCTGCAATCACACCATCCCTCCCCGACAGGTGTGCCTCCCGCCTCCTCCCTGAAGCACCAGGCCCTTCTGCGTGCATAGGGTCTCGGGCGCCCGTCAGGGTGACGGCACAACCCCCAGCCCCTCGGTGACCCCCTCCACAGCTAGCTTGGCTGGAGGGAGGCACGCGGGGTCTGGGCCTGGTTAGCACCAGCCCGGCCAGGAGGCGGGGCAGCCCTGCCCAGGCCGAGGGGGTCCTGAGGCTGCGGCGGCGGCAGTGAGGGTGGGTCTCGCAAGTCCACCTGGTGAGCGCTCTGCCCTTCTCTCCAGGTGAATGAGTCCTGGACCCTGGAGGACTGCATGGTGGCTCGGTGTGAGGGTGACAACCGTATTGTCCTGCTGGGGCCAAAGCCAATGGGCAACGTCGTCTGCGTGAACGGGCACCTGCCTGTGAGAGTGCGGAGCGGGGATGGGCCCTGTGACTACAGCTACGAGTGCGAGTGTGAGAGCCCGCCGCTGGGGCTGGCGGGGGAGGGGATGCGCCGCCAGGCATTTGGGACATGCACATGTCCCCCGTGCCCGATGCCCGGGATCACTGAGCCCACCTCCCGTCAGGCTTGGCGGTTTGAAGGGAAGCCGGGGGTTTCTGAGATCAGGGAGAGGAGGGGATCATAACCTGAGGGGTCCTGAGCAGATTTCCCCATGGCGCAGCACGTGGGAGGGGGTGATCTTACAACCCCTGGGGGTCCTGGGGCAGCTAAAATGAAGGACCACAAACTGGGTGGTTCAAAACAACAGAAAGTGATTCTCTCCCAGTCCTGGAGACCAGAAATCCAAGATCCAGGTGTCTGCAGGACCGAGCTACCCCCAGAACTTTAAAGGAGGGTCCTGTCTGCCCCTTCCAGACTTGGGGCCTCAGGCGCCCCGGGCTGTGGCCGCGTCCCTCCCACCTCTGCCCCAGTCATCACGCGGCTTCCCCTCTCCGTCTCTTCCGTCTCTTAGAAAGACACCTGTCGTTGGATTTAGGGCCACTCTGGTAACTCAGGATGACCTCACTCCATGATCCTTAATCACAGTTGCAAAGACCTTTTTCCCAAAGGAGGTCACGTTCTTAGGCTCTGGGTGGACGCGTCTTCGGGGCCCCCATCCAATCTGCTATACCCATGTCATAAACGAGAGGACTGAGGCCCTGGGGGCTGAGTGACTCCCCAAGGTGGCAGCTCTGGGTGGCACTGGGTGAGGCCTGTCCACACCCCCCAGGCTCCTGCAGCGGCTGGGGGGACACCCACTACGAGACCTTCGACGGCACCTCCTACTCTTTCCTGGACGATTGCACCCACGTCCTCATGCGAGAGATCCAGCCACGCCACGGGAACCTCAGCATCCTCCTACACAACCACTACTGTGAGGCCGCCGCCAGCTGCCCCCGCGCCCTCAGCGTCCACTATGAGTCCATGGACATCGTCCTCACCACCACCCCTGGCGCCGACGGGCAGGAGGAAAGCCTGGTGAGTGCAGGCAGCAGAGCGGCACTGGCCTGTCCCAACCTGGTTAGGGAAGGCAGGGGCTGGCAGAGGCCCGGGAGCCCTGGTGCACATAGAGCGCATTTCCTCCGCGCAGAGGGCAGCTCCCATGGGGCCTCAGGGGAGGCAAAGGGCACGCTGCGACCTGGGGCCCCAAGCACAGTGACTCCTGAGCAGGGAAGCAGCGTGGGAGGTGCCCGCGGCCAAGAGCATCCTGGGACCCAAATGCGCCGACTGTGACCCCAGGCCCGAGGGGGCATCTGCGCTTCGGGGTGCAGATGCCGAGGAGGGGGCCCAGCATATGGCAGGCAAAGCCCCAAAGGCCAGGCCGCTGCCCCTCGGCCCAAGTCACGGGTTCCCCGGTCACGTCCCCAGATCCTGTTTGGCCAAATGCGGGTGAGGCCGAGCTTCAGCAAGAACGGCCTGACCGTGACGGCGACGGGGGCCACCGAGATGAGCATCGAGATTCCCGCCATCGGCGTGAGCGTCATCTTCAACGGGCGGGTCTTCCAGGCCCGGCTGTCCTACAGCCGCTTCAGCTACAACACCGAGGGCCAGTGTGGTGAGCAGGGCCCCGCAGGACGCCTGCTGGGGGAGTGAGGGGCCGGGCACCACCGCTGCGGGCACGTGCCCCCAGGCGGCCCTGGCTCTTGACCGCCTGCCCCCGCCACAGGTTCCCACCTGCTCCCCCTGCCACCTGCCCCGGCCAGGAAGCAGTGTTTCATAGCTGACTGGCTGCCAGGGAAGCTGGGGGGATGGAAGGGGAGAACAGGATGGTCCAGGGCCCCCCTACAGTGATGCGCCTGCCCCGCCCTCCAGGCACCTGCACCAACAGCCGCAGGGATGACTGTCGCCGGCCCGACGGCACCACGGCCCCCACCTGCCAGGACATGGCCCGGTCCTGGCTGGTTGCCAACAGCAGCGGGGAGGGCTGCTGGGCACCGACCGGCCTGCCCCCGACCACCAGCGCCCCCTTGCCGGCACCCAGCACGCCCACCTCCACTCCGTGTCCCCCGGAACCCCTCTGCGAGCTGATGCTGGGCCCGTGAGTCCTCTGCATGGGCTGGCGGTCGGGGGCAGCCACCCCCGGGGCATCGCCTTGGCCTCTGACCGGCCCTACCTGCAGGGTGTTCGCCGGGTGCCACGGCCTCATCCCGCCCGGCCCGTTCTTCAGCACCTGTGTCAGCGACAGCTGCAGGCCCGGCCGCCCTGACCACCCTGAAGCGCTCTGCCAGAGCCTGGAGGCCTACTCTGCGCTCTGCCGCGCCCGGGGCGTGTGCCCCGACTGGCGCAACGCCACCAGCGGGCTGTGTGGTGAGTCGGGTGTGGCCGCCGGGGGCCCTGGCCTCCTTGGCCCACCTGACACCTGTCCGTGTGTCCGCAGACCTCACCTGCCCACCCACCAAGGTGTATAAGCCGTGTGGCCCCGTGCAGCCCAAGTCCTGTGACTCCAGGTGAGCCCAGCAGACGGGGACGGGATAGGACGGTGGGGACAGCAGGCCTCCCAGGCCTGCCTGAAGGGCCTGGGGGGACCCAGGAGGAGACCCACAGAGGGTCCGGGACCCCAAGCCCCAGATCTCAGGGTGCCATTCCCCCACCCTGACCTCCGACCCTGGACTTCCGGAGTGACCCCAGCCCCCCACCATGCCCACTGCACTCCTCCTTGGACTGCCCTGGTCGCCTTGCAGGAGCCAGAGCCCGGCGAGCAGGGGGCTGGCAGAGGGTTGCTTCTGTCCCGACGGCCACATCCTGTTCAACTCCCACACGGACGTCTGTGTGCCCCAGTGCCGTAAGCAACCCCACACCTGGGCCCTCCCCAGCCCCGCAGAGCGGGATGCGGAGGGCCACGGGGCGGGCATACCCCGGCCTGGGCCCGCCCACCCAGTTCTGCCAGCAGTGCAGGGTGGGCTTGAGCCTTCCTGAGCCCCCTCCTAAGTGACCACTCCCTCGGGTTCTCGGGGGCTTCTGCCCCCAGCAGGAAGAAGAGGCCTCTGTTGGGGGGAGGGGTGGCCAGGCCTGCTGGGCCCCAACCCCAGCACTCCCAGTGACCCCCTTTCTCCCCGTTCTTCCCTCCCAGCCTGCGTGGGACCAGATGGGTTTCCCAAATTCGTGAGTGTTCTGCCCACAGCTGCCTGACTCCTTGCTTGAGCAGAAGGAGGGAGGGCGTCCCCATCTCAGGGCGGCAGCTCTACCCGGGCCAGGGAGGGGCTGGTGTGGGCACCCCAGCGTGAGCTGCATCACCGTCACACGCCTGCTCCAGAGACGGGGAGGCTGAGGGCTGGGGCCTGACCCGCTGCTGGACGCAGCCCCAGAGGCCGGGGCACCACCCAGGAGCCCTGGGGGACCCTGACCTGGTCTGTTCCAGCCCGGAGAGCGGTGGGTCAGCAACTGTCAGTCCTGCGTGTGTGACGAAGACTCCGTGTCGGTGCAGTGCGCCCCCGTGCAGTGCGAGGCCCGGGACCGGCCACCGGAATGCGGCCGGGCCGGCTTCGTGGCCCAGACCAGGCCCCTGGCCGACAACCCTTGCTGCATGGAGACTCTGTGTGGTGAGGCCTGCACCCCAGGGGACCGGGTGGAGGACGGTGTTGGGCACAGGCCGCCTGGCCGGCAGACCTGCAGGGTAGAAAAGAGTTGCAGGGTCCTAGCTGGACTTGGCTGGACCACGAGGTGGGGAGGCCTCTTGGGCCTTCATTTTTCCACCTAAAAATGAAGCTGATGGCCTCTGGTGTGCCCTGGTACCACCCAGGGTCTTGGGGAAGACCGGGGAGGTGAAAAAGCGTGGGGACCCTGAAGGGCAGCAGAGAGCCATCAGCTCCCATGGAAGGGGCGCTCTTTGGTCCAGCGAGGGTAGGTGTTACCCTGGGAACCAGAGTAGCCAGAGGCCAGAGGGCAGGGACACCCCAGGCAGCCCCCCAACTCTCCCGCAGTCTGCAACAGAAGCACGTGCCCCCAGAGCCCACCCAAGTGTAGGCCGGGAGAGGAGCTGGCCTGCACCCAGGCGGAGGACAGCTGCTGCCCCATCTTCAGCTGCCTTGAGTCTCTGGGGTGGGGGTGGGGCCGGGGGGGTCTGAACACTTCCTTCCGCTGCCTGGGCAGGTCCTCAGCCCTCTCGTCCCTTCCAGGGCCTCAGCTGTGCACCTACAACGGCACCGTCTACGGGGTAAGGGCTCAGCTAGGTGGTCGGGGTAGGGCGGAGAGCGGGTCCGGGGTGGGCACATCCGCCGAGGGATGCCCCGTGTCCACTCCTTGTCTCCCCACGCCCAGCCCTATTCAGCCCCTCCCGCCATGACAGCAAGTGAGTCGAGGCTCCGGGCCCTTTACAGGCACCTTCTGTAGAGAGCCTCTGGGAGCTTAGCTCTCCCAGCAAGAGTTTCGGGGCAGGACTGCACCCTCCCACCCCTCCTGCCTGCCCGGGGCCCCTGCCTGCCCTGGTCTGTGCTCAGCCAGCGGGCACATCTGTAATCCCATGTGAAGAGGAGAGACTGCTCTGTGGGCCTCACCGACACGGGGAGAGGTCCTGGCCCTGGTGCCCCTCAGGGCCCTCAGTGTCACCTCCCCTCACCCTGTCCACTGCAGGTCGGTGCAACCTTCCCAGCGGTCATTCCCTGCCACACATGCACCTGCCTGTCCGTGGACACCCACGACCCGACCGTGCAGTGTGAGGAGGATGCCTGCGACACCACTTGTCCCCAGGTGAGGCCAGCCTCCTGGGCAGACCCAGGCCCCTGGGGCAGCCCCCAGCCACCACACCCTAGGGTCCAGGAAGGGTCTCCAGCTCAGGCTTCACTGGGGTTTTTTTCTTCCCAAAGGGAGGGAGTGAAGCAGGAGGATGGTGGAAGGGGTCTTGGGCGACGGGCAGGACGTGCAGGGCTGGGATCAGGTTCCTGGAGGGCACAAGTGCAGAAGGTGCTGGAAGCAGGGGTGAGGCTAAGAGGGGACACTGGGGCAGGGCAGGGGCACTGCCTCACAGAGGAAAGGCGCTGCTAGGGAGGCCCTGGGCCCCTGGGGTATGGGCAGGAGAGCAGGAGGCTGACGAGCCAGGCTGGGGCTGAGGGACGTGACCCCCTCCCCCCTCCCCAGGGCTTCCAGTACTCGCGGGTGGCCGGGCAGTGCTGCGGGGAGTGCGTGCAGACGGCTTGCCTCACGTCCGACGGCCGGCTGGTCCAGGTAAGGGGGGCTCAGTCTCAATCCCTGCGCCCCAGAGACCCTCCCCGCCAGCTCTTCTCTGCCCACCAGATAATCCTCAACCCGGCCCCCACTCTCCCCCTTTTATTTCAGCCCAATGAGACCTGGGTCAACAGCCTCGTGGACAACTGCACGTTGTACCACTGCCAGGCTGAGAACGGGCCCCCTATGCTGACCCCGACGCCCGTCGCGTGCCCGGACGTGTCCAGCTGCAGGGTGTGTGTCTGGGGCTCAGGCCCGCCCCGGAGGCCCCGCCCACGCCCAGAGCCCCACCCACCCGGGAGCCCCACCCACCCCCACCCCAGGAGGCCCCGCCTGCCCCAGCTCGCTCTCTGTCCCCCTTCCCCCGCAGGGCATCCTCCGGAAAATCGGCTGCTGCTACTCCTGTGAGGAAGTGGGTAAGTCGAGGCCCGCCTTCCCGCCCCCAGCCCCGCCCACTGACTCCTCCCGAAGCCAACCCCGCCGCCGGAACCCGACCCCGAGCGGGAGGTGACGTGGGGGTGCGGCGCGGGCGGGGACCTCAGAGATCCGCCTCCACCGCCTTTCGTCTGCCCAGACTCCTGCCAGGTACGCGCCAGCATGACGGTCCTGCGACACCAGGGCTGCGCCACCCAGGCCGCCGTCAGCGTCCCCTTCTGCGAGGGCTTCTGCCCAGGAGCGGCCCGGTGAGCGGCCCGCGCCTCCCCCCACCCCCGGGACACACGGGTACACCACCCGGTGCCCCACGTGTCCGTGTCCCTGTCCCTGGCCGGACACCTGGCGCTGGGCTGGGGCTGGAGGGCCCAGCTTGCTACAGGAAGGAAAGAAGGGCCGCCCCAACAGGGCTGCACCAACCCTGGGGCCTTCCCTGAACCCCCGAGCCCGGCCTGGGAAAGCTTGGCTGGGCCACGTGGGGCAGGGCACCAGGGCTACCACCCAAAGGTCAGAGTCCACGTGCAGGACAGGCAGAATCCGGGGGGACCAGACTGTCTGGGCAGAGCTGCTGGCAGAGCCCCACCCCACCCCCGATGCCCGGGCTGCAGCCAGCTGTGAGCAGACGGGCTGGAAGAGGCAGGAGGATGGGTCCAGGCCTGGCTGGAGGGCCCCGGGCAGGTTCCTGGAGGAGGGGTCTGACAGGGTCAGCAAGTCAGAGGAGCTGCTGTGGGAAAGAAAGGGGGCCTGGCTGGGGAAGGTCGGGGTTCAAAGTGACCGAGAGCGCTGCCCGGGCCAGTACAGAGAAGACCCGAGCGCTCAGGGAACAGGCACGGGGCCGCTGTCTCCCAACCCCCGAGAAACCAGGAGCCGGGCAGTCCGGGCGGTTGTGGCTGAGTGAGCACGTCCTGAGGGCCGTACGTCTGCAGGTACTCCATGGGGGCCCGGGCCACGCAGTGCCCGTGCATCTGCTGCAAGAAGACCAGGGCCCACCAGGAGGTGGTAACCATGCAGTGTCCCAACGGGACGGCCTTCCAGCACACCTACACCCACGTGGACGAGTGCAGCTGTGGCCCATCTTGCGTCTCCTCGGCCCAGGCTCCCGAGGACAGCACCCCCAACTTCCCGATCTATGGGTCCACCACTGTCTGACGCATTCTGCCCCCCCTCCGCCCGCCCCACCTGGAGCCAGAACACGCACCACCCAACCACGGAAACCGTGGGAGCCCACGCACACCTTCCGTGGATACCACTGCCCCCGCCCACTTTACACCTGCCCCAGGTGAAACCCAGGCCCTGGCGGGTGACAGCGTAGTGAGGGTCGGCTTGAGGAGGACCCCAGGCTGGGGGGACCTGCCCTCAGAGCCCCTCCTGCCTGGCCTTCGGGCCCTGACCCTCATCTGAAACACAAGCACCCGCTCCACCCAGGCTCACCCCCGTCCTGGTGTCAGAGGGATGCCCCGGAGAAAACTGCACACCCACTGCCGTGCTGCTCCCACGGCGGGCCTGTGTGCCCCCCACTGCCCCTCGAAGCCCCGTGGTGCACAGGTGACCGCTGGCTACACCTCTTGCAGCTGAGCGCAGACTGAGGCTTGTCCGGGCAAGGCCGGCTACCTGCCCACGTCTGGACCCCGGCCTGAGGCTCCGAGGGCCAAGGGACGGGCCCTGGCGGGGTCGGCACCCCACAGCACCCGCTCTGCTCACCCAGCCCCAGTCTTTGAAAATAAACACCGAGCATCACATACATTTCCTGGTCCTGGCGGATGTCCCCTCCATGTGTGGGCCGGGCTGTCCAGAGCCACACCCCTGCTGGACCTCCGGGAGGGACAGGCGGGGCAGGAGGCAAGAGGCCCCCAGGGTCAGTCTTGGGCTGTGGGAGTACTGGCCAGAGTCAGGGGTCATCCGAAGGTTCAAACATGTGGGTTTTATAAGGAGGTTGGTTCACAGCTGCACAAAGACCAGACGAGCCAACGGGGGAGGCCCACGGGGGAATGCAGAGGGCATCAGTGTGGGAAGCGCTCCCTGCGCCTCTGTGGGGCATCTCCTTCAGGCACTTGTCACACGTCAACTTGCTGTGTATCTGACCTTCGCTTCTCTCTCCACCGAGGGCAGGGATTGCTGCCCTTCTCTTCTGCTGCCCCATCCAGAGTGGAGAACACTGCCAGCACAAGAATGGGATGGGACGAGCTGGGGGCAAGGCTGGGGTGGTGCCCCGGCTTGAGTGTCCACATGGGCAGGGGCAGCTACGAGAGGGTGGGGCTTCCACTGGGGAGGCAAAGGCGGTGCTGGCCGGGGCCAAGGAAGCCTGGCGAACGTGTGCGGGGCGGGGGGCTTCTGGGGCCTCCTGCATCACGTGACCTGCCTCTGCGCTCTGTGTGCGCCTGCCCACCCAGGGAACGGCAGCCACAGTGATTTACATTGTCCCCCATGGGCTGCGGTCCTCAGCTCCTGGGGAAGGCGGGGCCTGTGGTCTCTTTAGTGGCCTTTCCTGCTCACGTCACCGAGGTCTGGTCAGGGCAGGCCACCCTGGGACTGGGCCGGAGCTGGTCCAGGAGGGCTGACAAGGTTACAGTTACCCCCCTTGGTCACCACTGGAGTCAACTGTAAACTTGCCGAGTCTCACAGTCTGATTTCCTGGGGCGGCGGGGTGGGGGGGGCTGTGGCCGAGTCATGCCCCAGCCGTATCTTCGTTAACCCACGTGTAAAACACAGCATTTCCTAAACGTCAGTCATTCTCAGGGCACGACTGCTTCCTTAAACCCACGCACCTCTTACAAAACTAAGCGTTTCCAAGGCACCTGTGAAATGAGTGTCCGTCTCCACAGACCAGAGCTCACGTGTGTGAAGTGTCTTCACCCGTCACAGACTAGAGCTCACTTTGGAGACCAGTGTCCAGATGTGCTCTCTGCAGGCTCTCTCTCTGCCTGGTGTGGAATTAATTAAGGAAACTGAGCTAAAGTTGGAGTCCGGACAGGCCTGCAGGGGAAGCTCTCATGCCCTCAGTGCATCATCAACTACCCCAAACAGGAAGAGACGTCCCCCTGCATGCCCCTGACAGGAAGGCATCTCTACGGACCACCCAGCCGTCCGGAGGAAGGAAGGAAACTCCTCTCCTTCCACGGCAGCCCAGCCAATCAGAGACTGCAGCGGCCCAGCCCATGGGAAGCCTCCTTACTCCGGACCCCCAGCTCCTCCAATGGGCTCTGGATATCACAGCCCCTCCCAACTCCCCCTTTTCCCCATAAAAGCAAGATCCCCTTCCTTGTTCTCTGGATGTGCCTGTGGGCCACCACGGTTCACAGATACTGAGCTGCAATTCCTCTGCTATTCCCGAATAAACTCACTTTTGCTGGTGAAACAACTGGCTATGTTATTATTGAAGTTGACGCTGGACAAGCTGCACCCCACCTCCTCCCAGAGGCCACAACCCCACGGTCACTGAGGGTGGCTGAGACATGGGACCCTGGGACCACCAGGTGCTGCCTCTCAGCCCTGGGCGGCTCTGTGCTCTCATCTTGCTCCAGGCAAGGCTCACCGCTGGTCAGCCAGGTCCAGCCCTGAGTTCAGGGGCCTGATTGGGGTCCCACTGTCCCCCCACCCAGGTCTTGGGCTCCCTGACCCATCAGAGCGGACGCCAGGCGCCCTTATCCTCTGCTTGGTGCCGTGGCCCGCCCGGACCCCGCGTGGGCTTCTGCAGCTTGAGTGGACCCAGCTCTGCTGCCAGGCTCACTGGGGGCAGCTCCTGTGCGATTCGTGAAGGGCCGAGGGCGTGGGGCCCGGGCAGGTCACAGACGTTTCCAGAACTCCGCCAGTGCTCTTTACGAGACAACTCATCCTAGCTCCATCCTAGGAAGGGTGTGGAGGGTGCCTGGCACGGATCTTCCTGCTGTCCGGGTACCCTGGGGTCACGTCCTCACTCGCCCTCCGATCTGCTCCCTCGCTGAACCCAAGCCACGTTGGTTTCCCAGCCTGTCTGGGGCCTGAGAGCAGAGCTGTGGAAGCAGGGGGCACGGAGCTCTGCGGGGGGCAGAGCTCCCGCCCACAAGCCCAGGGCTCAGCCTGGCCGCCGAGCGGTCCGTCCACAGCTCCAGCTCAGCAGAGCCCCTCCCAGACCAAGGCCCCAGCCGGGCCCTCCTCCAGGACGCCCCTCGGCCAGCGCCGGACGCGTCCCCCTGCGCTGGTGTGAAGTCCACACGCTCTGTCCATCCTGCCCGGATGTCCACAGGAATAACAGCGGGCCAGCTGTATGTCAGAAAGAAAACAGCTCTTCCACACTGAGTTAATAACCCTTGCACTGCAACTTTTGTAATTTTTCACTTTTCCATTTTGTCCTAAATGAGGTTTATTGCTTTAATCTTGGCAGTACCTAACAGTTAATAGACACTGAGGATAATTACCTTAGTGACAACGTTACAAATTACTGAATGAACGTTTTGTTATCACTGGGTTTAATGCGTTTCCCAGTGACACCTGCGCTCAGGGAACCGCGTGTTTCTCACTAGACTGACTTGTTAGCACAGAAAACTTTCAAGCAAGACCGCCATTGACAGGCTCATCCCCAAGCAGCACCGCGCTCTGCTTCGCCGCGCTGGCTTGTCTCCCGCCCTCCGCCCTCGGGGTGATGGGGACACAGCTTCGCTGAGCGCTAGGGGACTACGGCCCTGGACACGGGGCTTTGCCTCCAGAACAGGTCAAACATCAAACTGGGCTGCAGCCTTTGCTTCCACAAAGGTTGCTTTTCAGAAATCAACAGTTCCAAGGGATGTTCTGAACATTACTTCTGAAAATAAAAATGGAAGAGATAACGATAATAAACCGCTCTCCTTGTCAGCACAGGGAAGACGGCCCTGAAGGCCCAGACTCTGCGCTCTGGGAGCCCCGTGAACCCGGAAGCCCAGCCCAGGGAGGTCCTGCCACCCTTGGGGCCATGGCGGGGAGGGGGACCGGCCGAGCTCAGAATCCCTCCTGCATTTGTTCATCCAACAAGTGCTGACCGAGCCCTGCTGTGCGGGCAGAAGCCCGTGCTTGACCGCCCAGCATCCCAGCAGGATGGACACCAAGCAGAGGAAAGGGAACGGGTACGTCTGGATGACCCAATCGAGAGGGGCTGGGTGTGGGGAGGGTGGGGAGTTGCCAGAGAGGCTGGGAAGCTGCCCCGCTAGCCATGGGGAGCAGGTGGAGGTCAGGAGCCTTGCAGGGGGACGGGAGGCTCGGCAGGAGGCCTCCCTGAGCTCCTGGCTCCTGGGTCTTCCCTTTGCAGGGCTGGCCGGGACGTGGGTGAGGATCCGGGCCTTGTGCCATCTCCCTAGCACTCAGGAGATGTGGGAACCCAGAGGAAGGACCAGAGCCGCTGCCAGGGTGCTCGGCCCACCCATTAGAGTCTCCAGACTTCCTGGTGGGAAGTGAGGGGCCTCCTGGGCCGGCTGGGGACAAGAAGTCATCCTGCAGCCTGAGGGGGGGCCCTGAGCACCAGGCCCGGAGCTCAACATAAAGGCAGCAGCACCTGCCACCCCAGGAAGCCCCGAGATGAAGGGAGCCTGGACCCGCGATGGCCGTCCTCGGAGCCCCCATGGCTGCGGGGCCAGCCCACTCCTTGCTGCCCATGACTGAGCGGGGTGTCAGCGTGGAGGCTGGGACAGCGTGGGCCCACTGCAGCTGCAGGCACTGGGAAAGCATCTTGGAGCCTGACAAGCTCTGGACCCAGTCGGGGGGCTGGCTGTGGCCCAGGAGCAAATGCCCTAGGAGCAGATTCACCATACTGCCGGGCAGGCTCTTGGAAATTCGGAACCGACCGCGGTCCGCGTTGGGTGGAGAGCCCAGGAGGGCCCTCGCAGTGGCTGAGGAAGGGATGTGGAGGCTAAGCAGGGCCGCGGGGACACTGCACAGGTGAGGGCACCTGCACAGGTGAGAGGGCACCTGCACAGCCGAGAACCAGCGCGGGTGACCTCTGCAGTGCGGCTGAAGACAGCAGATGCCGTTACGGGGCTGGCTCCCCAGCAGCAGAGTGATGGGGTGGGGGCTGAGGCCCCACAGGAGCAGAGGGGTCAGAGGCAACCGGACACCCTGAGCAGTGACTACCTGTGGTGATGGGGGCAAGCTGGACGGGCCGCTGACAGCCTGCGGACTCAGAACAGAACCAAGTGACAGCACAGACAGCTGTCAGCCTCCTCGTGGGGGCCACGGCCCCTCGCCCAAGGTCCAGACCTGCTCGGTCCTCAGACCAGAACCATCGGCCAGAGGAGAGGCTGGGCTCCCTCGGGAGAGCCCCAAGGCACCAGGGCAAGCGGACAGGGCGGTGGTCCCCACCTCCTCCCAGAGGGGCTCACGGCATTCACCCCCAGGGCAGAGGGGCCACCACTGACCACAGGGGCCCAAAGCAATGCCAAGGCTCCTTTAAAACTGGGGCTTACAGGGCCACTCAGCTGCCCACTGGTCATTTCCCCAGCCCTGGAACGTGCAACTGGGATGGACGCTGGCAGAACGCCACTGATCCCTCTGCCGTCTGGGACGGGCTGGCCGAGAGGAGGGCCATGTCTGACCTCCGACATGAAAGACGCAAGTGTCGCCGCCACCACCACGGCCCGGTACCCACTGCCCGGCGCCTGCACACCCAGCCCGCACTCGGCTGCGGATGGACGTCCACGCGAGGGGTGGCGGGCCCGAGACGTGGGCAGGCCGCATACCTGGGCAATGTCCGCGTCCCCTGTCCCCAGCTCCACCCGCCAACCCCAAAGTAACACCCCCGCCCCCGCCCAGCTCGGCAGTTTCAGGCCTGTTTCACACACTCGATGCACATCTAACTCGTGTTCCCTGGGGTTCACAGGACTCCCGACCGGAGGCACCAACCGTCCCCCCACCTCCTCTGGGCCCCGCGTGCAGTGGGTTTCTTCAGCCCCCGCTGGACCACCATCCCTCAGCAACGTCCCATCTGCCACAAGCCTGCCCACCAAGGGGTCAACTGCATGACTGTATCTGCATTTCCAAGAGTTCTATCTGTTCTTCTCCATTTCTGGGTGGGTATTTTTAACTCTCTTGGTCTTTGCGTTTTATTCTGTTTCCACGACACTGCAGGTTGTCACGTGCTGCTCCAGGGGAGGCTGGCGGCTGGGATGGGTGGGGTCCCGCTCGCCTGCATCTGAGCTGGCGCCCCGGGACCAACACCAGCTCCTCCAGAAACGTGCTGCTGCTTCCGCCAAGCGGCTTTCTCACCTGGAGCTCCCCGGGCTGCAGGTGGTGTAGACATGGGCCCGCGGTGGGGAGGGCTCCCCCCTCCCTCTGTGGGCCGAGTCCCCTCCTCAGCCAGCACTTCAACGAGCCAAGGCCGCGCCTCCCGGCGGCTCACGCCCCACACACAGGGCCGAGCACCCGGGACACACGAGCACTGAGCGTACCCTACCCTCTGCATCGTGTCCCTGGTGCCTGGGCCCCGCCCGCACACAACTCCTCTGGGCCTTGGGCACAAGCTCTCACTGTGACACTGACCCGGGGCAGGAGGGCGCCTGAGAAAACTGTCAGGGGATAACAGGGGCGGGGGGGGGGGCGTACCTGAAGGCAGTGGGTCCCCTTCCTCCCGCCCCCAATCCCCGGCTGCACAACGTCCTCAGCGGGGCCAGTGCCCGCTGACTCAGGGCTGGGCCAGCCCCACCCCGTGTGCTCCAGGGCTGCGGGGCCCAGCACCCGAGCCGGACCCTGCACTCGGGGTCTGGCTCCGAGGCGGGCGACGTGGGCCCTCTTAGAAGGGGAGACACATTGTGGCCCATGTTCGGTTCCTACTCCCGGGTCGGGACGGCCTGGAGAATTGCAAACAGGACAACGAAGGAACGAGAGGCCGGTGCTTCGGGAAACAGGAGAGGAGGACAGCGTCTGCGGCCTGTCCTCCCCAACCCAACCAGAAAACCAAACCCACGCTGCACGGAAACATGTCAGGCTCCCAGTCAGAATCCAGCCTGTGCCCTGCTCTGCCTTCACTTACGAGTCCTGTGACTAGTGTGCTGGTAAGTTTATTGTGACTGCTGTCAACCTGCTTGTTACGAGCCGAGTTAAATCAGAACAAAAATGGTCAACTCTCCTTGGAGAACTTGACTTCTCTATTTTACACAGACCATTTATTAAATTAGAAGGCTGAAAAGTAAAAACGTATCTTACAATCAAAGAGGAATCTGGACCCTGGACCCCAACAGAATGATCAGAAACGCAGGGCGCCTGCTGGAAACGCCTCTCTCCTCACCAGCACAGAGCAGCAGCCAGCTGCACGGTGCCCCGGCCCTGGGCCCAGCAGCCACGGGCGCCCGAGCCAGACGGCCCCCACCCCACCCCCAGGGGCTGCCTGGATGGTGAGCGCGGACATGAACGCGAAGCCGGGGCAGGAAGGGGCAGCCGAGGCAGGAAGGGCGTCTGACTTAACAAAGGCCTCACAGGGCATGACCTTCCTCTGACCTAGTAAAGAAGCAGCAACCATGAAAAAGGACCATGAGAGCTGGCAGGTCTGGAGCCGCCCTGAAGCTAAGACTCCTGTGAACAGAGGCCCGGGCAGGGCGGCTGGGGCAGCGCAGGGTCACCTGGGGCTGGGGGCCCGGCCTGTGTGGAGCTGCGCTGAGTGTGGTCAGGTCACCGCCCAACAGTCTAGGGCTGCAGCCGAGGAACCATCGCTCTCAAGCATCTGAGAAGAGCCTGCGGCAAAGGCACAAGTGGTCCGAACCCACCAACCGACGCAGGTCTCCCCGAGCCGGGGCCACCGTGCACGCCCGGGGGAGACAGAAAGCGGCACTGCACTTAACCTACATGGAGGGAAGGGCTGCAGCCTGAGTCCTCCTAACTTCCTTGGGCTGGCCTTCCACTGACGTCCACACGGTTGGGATCCACTTCTATGTCCAAAGGCTAGGCAATGACTCCAAAGACAGAGCGGTGACCGCGACTTACCGCGGACCGCAGTGGCCACAGCCAGTGCGTCAGTTCGGAGACACCATTCAGATTTGATTTCCACGGGGCATCACCCAGCCTGTCCCTGTCCTCTCTGTCCGCGGCCGGAGCCAGGGCCAGGGTGCCATCCACACGGCAGGGCGCCTCCTGCCTCTTGGGAAGACCTGCCAGCACTGACGGTCACCAGACTGCCCTCTCTGTCGCCCAAACTGACCCACAGGCCTGGGCCCAACCTAGTCTCCCTAAATTAACATCGGCAGTAAAAGCCAGGCGTTCCTAAATGCCCTTTAATAAGCAAATACAAGACTGGATCTGTTTCTTACACCCCAGTTTTAGTTCTGTTGCCAGAGTGCATCCTGGGGAGGAGCGGTGACCCTTCGGGACAGCATCACACAGAGGCGGGTGAGACAGCAGGAGAGACTGAGGGCCCAGGGCTCGGGCCAAGGCTCCCGACGCCACGCCCAGACTTGGCTGCTCTGCACCCAGGCTGAGCTCTGCAGCCGAGGCTGGACGGGGGTGAGCAGCCCACGAACACCACCAAGGGGAGGAGATAAGTTTTCAGCTGAAACTTCTAAGTGACCCCAAACCCGCTGTCAGTGGGTTCTGTGTGCCTTGCGTTAATGGGCCTACCCGATCAGGTCGCGTCACCGCAGGCCACCAATCAAACCAGAGAAGGCTCGGCACGAAGGCCCTGGTGGGGGCAGCTGCTCCCAGGAGAGCCTCCCGGGACGGTGGGAAGGCGGGTGCGCACACGGGACACGGCCCTCCGACCAATGCGGGAGAGGCCCCCCACCCGCCGCGACCACGTCGAGAACGGCTGCAGGAACCGAAAACCACATGCATCCCGAACAAGGGTGTGGACTGGGCTACACAGATGTCCGAGGAAGGGGCTACGCAGGGCGCGTTCACGGGGATCTGCTGGGGACGGTGCTCCTGGGAGCTGGGCGGGCAGGCGGGCAGGCGGGCTGGCAGCGGGGCACATCTAGGACTCCTCGCCCATCTGCAGCAGGGAGTTGATGGCCGCATCCTTGCTGCCCCGCTGGGCCTCCAGCACAGAGCGGATGACCTCCCGGTCCATGTTGGGGAACATGTCCTGGATGGCCTTCAGGTCCTCCTCACTGCAGCGGGGCTGGGCGCTCACGGCTGGGGGCAGGGCCACAGGCACCATGCCGGGGCTGCACACGGCAGGCATCCCTGCGAGGAGACAGGGGTCAGGGAAAGCAGCACCTCCAACGCGCGGGCTAGCTGCCCCGGGGGTCGGCCCCCCAGGTCTCGTCTCCCAACGTGACCTCAGAAACTGGCCAGACACTTGTGAGAAACCAGGGGCGAGCAGCCCCCCGCCACTTGGTCCCCGGCATCTCACATGAGCCCACTTCACAGCGGGGGTGGCAGGGGCAAAAACAAGCCTAAGAACGTGTGTATATACACCACAGGGGTCAATTCTCATCCATCAAAGGCCACAAAACAGTTTCCTCCACCTGAGAACGAAACAGCAAACCCAGTCTACGCTCCTTTCGCGCCATTTCCTCTGTCACACATTCCAGAACAGACTTTCCCAGCTTGGCACTCACATCACAGACACTGACGAGGAAAGAAAACTCACCCAGCGCGTGCCCAGCGCGTGCCCAGCCTTCCCCGTGACAGCAGACAACCCACGAGGCAAGGTGCTCACGAGCACTGCCGTGCCGGGGCCTGTGCGCTCGAGCAGAGGCCCTGGGGCCCCGGACACCCAGCCCCGCCAGCTACACGTGGGGATCCTGGTATCACTCCCTCACACCAGCCACGTCCCCTCACTCCCTTGTTAGACACAGGTGACAACTGAGAACCTCACGGCCTCTCAACTGCTGGAAGGTTCAGTCCGAGCACCTGGCGCCACCGGACCCCAAGACAAAGCTTTGACTCCTTGTCCTGAGATGGTCTCGTGGGGGAACCCAGACAAACGTAAGGAAGGAGAGTGTTAACAGAGACTCCACGCCTAACCGAGTGCAGAGCCTAGTCAAACACCTCTCTGAAAAGTAGAAACGGATTTAAAATCATTAGTTCTGGGACTTCCCTGGTGGCGCACTGGTTAAGAATCCGCTTGCAGGGCTTCCCTGGTGGCGCAGTGGTTAAGAATCCACCTGCCGATGCAGGGAACACAGGTTCGAGCCCTGGTCTGGGAAGATCCCACATGCTGCAGAGCAACTGAGCCTGTGTGCCACAACTACTGAGCCTGCGAGCCACAACTACTGAAGCCCGCGCACAGCAACAAAGACCCAACTCAGCCATAAATTAATTAATTAAAAAAAAAAAAAAAGAATCCGCTTGGCAATGCAGGAGACACGGATTCGGGCCCTGGTCGAGAACTAAGATCCCACATGCCGCGGGGCAGCTAAGCCTGTGAGCCACAACTATTGAGCCCGGGGGCCACAACTACTGAAGCCCGCATGCCTAGAGCCCATGCTCCACAACAAGAGAAGCCACTGCAATGAGAAGCCCACGCACCACAACCAAGAGTAGCCCCCGCTCGCTGCAACTAGAGAAAGCCCGCGTGCAGCAACGAAGGCCCAATGCAGCCAAAAATAAATAAATAAATTTTAAAAATAAAATAAAATAAAATCATTAGTTCTTATAAACTCAAAAGCACAAACAATCCGCCGAACCAGGCTGGGAGCGCTGGACTGAGAAGTTTAGGACATGATTTCCTTTCCTGTCTGAAGTCAGAAGATCCTAAAGGCGGCTCAACGCTGTCCAAACCAAAACTGGCAGAAGGGCTGACAAGTGTTGAGATGAGGTAGCATCGGCTGCAGGTGCGCGACTGAGGCTGCGCTGGACACACACGGCTGCCTCCAGGGACAGAGGGGACGGGACGTGCTCCCAAGGCAGCAGCAGAGCCCAGCCCCTCCGAGTCCCTCCTGGGCCAGCCGGGCCGAGCACCTGCCCACACCCCTCGCCCACCGGCCTTTAGTCCTGGCCGTCCTGAGAGGTGAGAGGTCGCTTGGGTCCCAGGTGGGCACTCAAACCCGGTGAGGCCAGGGCCCCCAGGTTGTTCCATGAGCCCAGGAAGGTGCTCGCCCACCGCCTTTCAGAAACGGGGAGGAAGGAAAGGGAACCCGGGACTGGGGATGGCTGACAGCTTCACTCCGTGAGGCCCCGCCATCCGCCCTGGCCCGCATCCAGGCCACACCCCCACCGCCTGCATTTCTGACACTTCTGGGAACAGTGGAGACAAACTTTAGGGGGCACCCTGGCTCTCCTTAGGCCCCTTCCGCCAGGAGGGTCTTGGGTTGTAGCGTGGGAGGCGGGCGGTCCTAGGGCAATTAACTTGGGGCCCCACAGTCTTCACCTCGCTCTGGATGGAGTTTAGAGGATTTCGGGGACGTGGCCACCACCGTGCACACGGCATCCTCGGCGTCACTTGGTCTCTCCGGTGCCCCAAGCCTCCCACCGCCCATGCACTGCCCGGGTTTTATGGTGGCTCACATGGGGGGCGAGCTGAGCCCAGAACCCGTCACGGCCCAGGGTGGGAGCCGATCACAGGCTGACGTGAAGGCTCAAAAATCCAAAGGCGGAAGAGCCACAGTCCAACTTGACTTTGCTGTGCTGTGCGAGCCACGCATTCAGAAAGGTTACCAGCGCGTAAGGTAAGAAGCTCATAAAGGCAAAAAGATGGGAGAGAAACAGCAACGCTGGAGCCCGAGGTCCGTCCACCCAACAGGAAGTGATCTTGTGCTGCGGTGACTCAAAATGCTTAGAAATCCCATTTCAACATCTCCATAAATTTCAACTCACCTTCTCTGTGCCGACAGAGAAAAAACAAACCCTATTTCCTACACGTGCACATAACATTCAAACGTAACAGTGGACCCCTGGTTTGGGGAGGCTCTCCGGGCATCCCTTGAAGACCAGGCCCAGACTCTAGCCCACACCCCGAACCCCCACGCGCCTCCCCGCTGCTCGAACACCCAAGGGCACGCGCCCGGGGAGGAGAGGCAGCACACACCTGTGATGGGCACGTAGCCGACGCCCTGCTGGTACACAGTGGGCATCAGGACCACGGGCTGAGGCGGCATCATCATGGCAGCCGGCAGCGACTGAAACACACCAAAGACGATCAGGGGTCAGAGAAGAACACAGCACACACCCGAGCCTCATCACTCCCAGCCTCGCCAAGAGCGTCCTGGGAGGGACAGCGCAGGGCCTGGAGCCCAGTCACCGGCCCAGGATCGAGGTGGGTCCAGCCAGGCCCTGCGTCCCGTCCAGCATCACCAAGTCCCTGCCCACACCGACACCCCGAAGCCTCCTCTGCTGGACTCGGGTAGAAGGTGGCATCAGACCTGCTGAACCACGGCTGAGACGTGGCCAACAGAGAACCCCGCTCAAGAAAGGAAACCTAAGCTTAAATTCCAGGGTCAAACCGCCTCTCTCTGTTTATAATTCTTTAGTTAAGTACAACGGTGGCTTTCCGTCTACATAGAAACGCCCGTTGCAGAGGCACGACGGCATGTTCACGGGTAAACTCACTGGTGTTGGGACCTGCTGTGCATCAGCCCAGCACCCGAAAGGGGATGAGACAAGGTGCCAGGGGCGGTGGCCGTGAGGCTGGGCAGTCGGTCCCACCCGGGGTCCCTGCACCCCCTCCCCGCGTCCACATGCCAGAAACACCTGGGAGTAAGGGCGGGGATGCGGGTAAGCCCGGGAACGGCACCCCAGTGGCCACGGGCCCGCCGGCCGGCCTCACCGTGTAGGACAGGACCAGGTTGATCATGCCCTCCTTGTCGTCGCCCTGCCGCCCGCTCAGGCTGTACCATTCGTCCACGACCTTGCCCTGCCTCAGCGCCTCGGGGATTGTCACGTGCGTCCAGGCAATGCGGTCGTCCATGGAGAAGGCTCGCTGGGGGGCGATGGGAGATGGCGGTGACCCCAGGGCTGCCCGAGAGGCCGCCCCACTCCCCCAGCCCTCCCGGCAGGGTGTGCACGGCCCGGGGCCGCCCCGCTCTCTCCACCTCCTGTGGGCGCAGGGGGAGGGAGGCTCCATCGGGCACCTGCAGACGTGCGCTCCCCCACAAACCACATGCTCCCCTCCACCCCAGGGCCCCAGAGGCGATGGGGCCGGGTGTGAGGGAGGACCCAGGAGGAAGGGAGGAAGGCAGAACCCTGGGGACTGTGGCCACTTCCCAGCCCCGCTGCCCACCCCCAACCCCCCAGCCCTGTCAGCCGACCACAGGTGAGGGGGCAGCCGACCCGGCCTCAGGAGCGGTGGGACACGCCCAGGCAGGCCCTCGGAGGGCCAGGCTGAGTTAGAACCCAGGGCACCCGACGGCCCAGCGACACTCGGGAGGTTCCTGCCACTCACGCCACCCAGCCACGGGCCCTGACCACGTCACACCTGAGCTGCGTACAGATAGCGGCTGCCTGACCTGCCTGGTCGGGTGATGCCCACACGCTGGACACAGGGTGGTGACGTGTCTGAATGCAAGTTCTAAAGACTCTGCAGGGGAAACGTGCTTTTCACTATGCTGGGGACACCAGGACACCTGTCACAAAGCCACAAGAAACCTGAAGTTCTGGAGCGGCTGAGTGGCCCCCGCGCGGCCCCCACCTCGTCAAAGATCTCCAGGTAGAAGGAGTCCACACCCGGGGGCACCGTGCACTGGATGACCTTATTCCAGCGCGGGTTCTTGGCGCCGTTGTGGGCTGTGGGCGTCTCGTACACCGCGTAGCCCAGGCGCAGTCGGCAGTACGGATCCATGCGGGTCATGCCGTAGTTCTTTGCCAACTTGGCCTGAAATAAAGCCAGTGTATGAGACGGGGCAGCGGCCGTCACAGTGGAAGCCGCAGCTCAGCTAAGTGGGCCGCCCCTTCCACTCACGGCTTCCAGAGTTTTCTGGGTGCCGACCCACCAGAACACGGCTGTAACTGAACCGTCAGCCCTCCGTATCCGTGGATTTAAGCAACCACAGATAAAAAATATTAGGAAAAAACATTCCAGAAAGTTCCAAAAAGCAAAACTTGAATTTGCCACACCAGCAACGAATTTTATAGCTTTACACTGTGTTACAGCTGCATGCACACAGCATTTACCGTGTGTTAGGTGTTACGAGTAATCCAGTGATGACTCAGTACACGGGAGGATGTGTGTAGGGTACGTGCAAAACTGCACCGTTTTATATAAGGGACTTGAGCATCCTTGGATTGTGGCGTCTGTGGGGTCCCAGAACCAATCCCAGGGACGACCGTGCTCTGGGACCCAGGAGGGAGGAGAAAGTCCAGGCTGGGTCCAGTGTTTCTGCGATAAGGCACCCGGCACCGTGCCTGACACTCAGGACACGCCGGCTGCTGCTAGGCAGGGGCTGGATCCCCACCCAGAGGAGGAGGAGGGTGAAAAGGGCAGGCCGTCCCGGGACAGAGCCAAGAGCCACCGAGAAGAGAAGCAGGGGGACGGGGGCCGCCCCGGAGAAGCAGGGCCCAGTCAAGGCCTTCCCTGCGCCCTCGGAGAGTGACCGTGCTGGCTCCCCGGCCTCCCCTCCCGCACAGGAGCCTCTCGGCAGTGACCATCCCTGCCCAGGGCTGCGTGGGGGCCAGGGGTGCAGGCAACTCATCTTGGGCACCAGATGAGGCGGAGCCCACCCACATCTCACATAGGTCACGGGCCCACCTCAAGCCAGACGCGCTGCTTGGGACGGCTGGGATGCGTTTGTAGGCGAAAACGTGAACACCGATGAGCACATCAGGCTGTCGGTCAGGAAGTACTGACTCAAAGTGGATCATGGGCTTAAATGTAAAACCTAAAACTATAAAACTTGCACAGGAAAAACCAGAAGAAGTCTTTGTCATCTTTTAGGCAAGGTTAGCAAAAGCACGGCCGAGGAAGGACAGCTGGCGGCTCCCTGGGGACCGTGAGGAGGACAGAGCAGCCCCGTCTGCAGCATCAAGTCTGATCACAAACCCGTGTCCAGGACATAACGGACTCACAAACCTCAGCAATGAGAACACAACATGGTTGAAAAACAGGCAGAAGATCTGAAGAAGAAAAGCTCAACGCCAATTAGCACGTGAGAAGACGCTCCCCACCATCGGTCATCAGCGACACGCAAAGCAGAACCCCGTGAGGCCACAAGGAGCTGCTGGACGGGCTCAGACCCAGCCCGCCGGGCCAAGCCGCCCACCCCCAGAGCGCAGGAGTCCCGCAGGCGGCTGGGAGAAGCCACGGTGTGGCAGTGCAGGGACCAGCCTGGCAGCTTCTCCAAAGCAGACTCCACCCAGCTCGGGAGTTGGGAGTCCACTCTGAAATGGGAACTCACGCTCACACAGAAGCCCGCGCTTCACAGCGGCCCGGGGCTGGGACCCCCGTCCCTGCTGGGCAACAGACTCTGGGAAGTGCCCCGGGGCCTGAGCTTGGTCAGCACTGCGGTCAAGGGCAGGCCCACCGACAGGCAGAGGGAACTATCTGTGTTGCTGGGGAAGCTCTCTTCATCACAGGGGTGGACAGGCTCGTCAGAGGTCATTGAAACACAGGCTAATTCAAATCAGTGCATTTTAACATATGTAAATCATATTGAGTAAGGTTGATTTTTTAAAAAACAGCAAAAAATTCCCCAAAGCCCTGCTGCCTGCACTGACACCCTCTCTCTTCTCCCCTCTGGAAGGCTCCGCACAAGCCCCTATTCTGTCTGCGAGCCTCCTTGCCCCCCCGCATCCCCCACTCTCGTGCCGACTTCCCCAGAGCTCTGGCCAGGGCTGCGCACGACCGCACGTCCCAGAGCCACCACCCCTCCGCGCAGGACCAGCCTGAGCCCCTCAGGATGCCCACCTTATGTCACTGCTGGACCTCTCCCCTGAAGTCCACAGCCTCCCGGCCTCGGCCCCCTGCCTTTAAAGCATCCTCGACTTAACGTGTCCGACACCGAACCGCGAGTTTCCTTCCCGGCCTGTTCCTCCTGTAATTTCCCCCATTTTGGTCGAGGCTCCTCCATCCCCTGGGCGCTGGCAACAGGCCTTGGGGTCACACACCCGCCTGCCCCCACGTGGGTGCGCCTCGAAGTCGGCTGTTCTCCCCCAGGAGCACCAAGCGCAGGGCCTTCCAGCCTCGCCCACATCTTCCCGACACAGACCCCGAGGGAGCCCTGAACTCCAGCTCAGGACAGGGTGCCCACTCAGAGCCGAGCCCCAAGGCCACAGGACCCCCAGCGGGCAGCACCAGGAGGGCCTGGCCCTGAAGCAGCCCCTGGCACAGGGTGGCGATTCCTGTTCAAGCTGTACTTTCCTCGATAATACCTGGGCCACTCCACACCTGCCCCCCAAGCTCGCCATCGCCATCGGCACACTGCACCCCGGCCCTCAGGGCGACGCAGGCGTTTACTGCCGCCCTGCCCTGCCCTCCTCACCCGCTGACTTCCTGCTCCTCTGTCTGCAAGAGCAAACACGGATCGCATGGGCAATGTCTTCCCGAAAGCGCCCGGGAGAGGGCCTCAGCCCTCACACGCTGTTGTCTTCACTGTGAATTCACTAGAGCAGTTCTCAGGACGGCAGATTTTCCCCCCAAAACTCCTAGAAGCTGCCCTGGTATTTTCTGGAAAACATGTAGCAGCAAAGTCTGAAACGGGCCTGATTTTCGATAGCTTCAAGGCAGCTGTTTTGTCTCTGTCTAGCCGCTAAGGCTTTTCCACCTGAATAATCCGATGCTCGTGGTCTGAGCAAGGCCAGCTGCCCGTGAGTGCGGGAGGCGCCTTCCTTCACCTGGACCCCGACTGGCCCCAAGACCGTGCTCTGCTCACGGCTGCTGCCCTCTGCAGAGGCCCGTCTGCCACTGTGCTCTCCTCCCGCGCCCCCGGCACCACGGAGGGGACACGGAGGCCTGGCCTGCCCGCTTCCAAGTGGCTCCCCTGAGACATCGACTGGGCTGCGCTGCAGGCACACGAGCGTCTGAGGAAGGCCACCCCGAAGCTTACTGGGCACAACGACCCTCCAGGCACGGCCCTGGTGTCTGCTGCGGACAAATGGACGGATGGACAGATGTCTCTGCCTCCCGCGGCCTGATGCAGCCCGTCAGAGCAACGTGGCAGCGCCCTTTCTGTCCTGACAGCACCTCTGGTTCTCCCGGGGGCCGGGATGACCAGGCAGCAGCCACACCACCCCTTCCCCGGCACCGGCAGGGCGAGCGGTGCTCCGGACCCCTTCTCTAACTCTTCCTGGCGAAACCCGGGCGATCGTCAGTATCTTCGCATCCATCGCTCTCCACCAGGTATGTGTTTCCGGAAAAACGGGATCAGGGGAAGCCCCATCCATCCATGTGGCAACACGCTATGACAGCGAAGGCCCCGCCCCGCCCGCTCCGGCCCCCCCCCCCCACCGCCCCCCCCCCCCCCCCGCAGGCGGCCACACCCACCTGCACCACGGTGATGCTGAGGCGGCCCACGGTGCCCAGCGCCCCTCCGTACTGCAGCTGCTGTGCAGCCTGTGCGTCCAGCTGGATCTGCTGCTGCTGCTGCGTGGGCGTGATGCGCAGGAAGTCCTGAGGCAGCTCCCCGATGTACACCTGCGGAGAGCACGGCGGTCAGAGCTGGGCGCCACCCGCCCCCAGGACGAGGGTCCGCGGCGGCAAGATATCCACCCTGCGGGCCCCTCCCAGGGCCTGCACTCTCGGCATCAGGACGCTCAGCAAACGGGGGGCTCTGTGAAGGCCCGAGTGCGTCTCCGCCCTGAAAGCAGGCCTCGCGTCCTCGCTGGGCCTGGGGGCCTCACACGCTCTGGTCCGCGTGTCCATGATCCCTTCCCCAGGACCAGGACCGCCGCAAGCAAGGCCTGTCCACCGTGAGCGCTGTTCACGGGGTGAAACCTGAAGCTTGGATGTCCAGTGACTTGGAAAGGCCTCTGTGCTGATACCCTTCAAATGTCTCCATGAGACACAACTCGCGTGCAAAAACGCCCCGGAGACCAAGAACCCAACAGATTAACCACCAGAAGCCCGGATACCTGGCCCTGGACAGGTGAAGTGATGGGGAGGCATCGGCTCCCAGGGACACACCTGAGTGTGGAGCCCGGTGGAGCCTGGGGGCTCCAAGAGTGACGACTCCCAAGAAGACCGCAGGAGACCATGCACGGAGAGACGGCCCACAGCCAGACGGCCTAACCCCCTGTGTTCAGAGCCCTCGACAGCCGCACCGTTGCTCGCCCCCCGGGCGGGGGGGGTGCGGGCCTGGAGGGGCCACAGTGCGAGCAGAGCCCAGGTGAACGGGAGGGAGCAGCCGCAGGACCCACGATGGAGGTCTGGCTGCTGGGGGGGAAACCGGGGCCACAGGCCCCTCAGCCGCGCAGGGGACGTCACAGAGCCCAGCCGCGGGCCCTGAAGAACTCGTGGAAACGGAAAGGAGGACCCCAGCGTGTCACAGCGAGTTCTGGCAACTGCACTCACAGCAGCCGCCAGGGACCACTTGACGTCCGGGCGCCGCATGACACGGGGGTCTCTGCTGCGCAGACCAGACGGCACCAGGCAGGGGCCCAGACAGCACCCCACCCACCTGGCTCACAGCGCCCCTGGGAGAGCACCTCCCCCAGCGAGCGCCCCCAGCGCCTTTCCTATCGAAGGTCCCTGGGAGGGTCTGGGCCTGGAGATCATGCGCTCCCACCAAGGCTGATGGAAGCGCACACAAGGGCGCTCGCTGGCTCCCAGCAGCCCGCACGCCGACTCTGCACCCAGAGGCCTAGCGCTCCCGCCGCTTCTCTCTAAAAGCAAGCCGTGCCCCCCGCCCCCCAAGACCCTCTGTCTGGGAGCCAGCTCTGCGTCTCACACCTCCGCTGCATCAAGGACCCAGCCCAGGGCAGGGGAGGGTGCCCCCGGAGGCTGCCCCCCAGAGGCCCCGGCGTTGCCAGGAGAGGAGCGCAGTGCCTTCCATTCCCTCCCCAGGGCATCGCAGGCTCCGTTTCCTGGGCGCGTAGTGCAGCTGAGGGGGTTCCAGGACGGGCCCTCGAAGGAAAGCGGGTGGTGACACCCCGTGGGCCACACCCCTCAGGAGGGCTGAGATGCCCGGGACACGCCAATCGTCAATTCCTGCCAGCGCCAAGACCAGGCCCCCGTGACCCCCCAAACGCACCCCATCCAGAGCCCCTCAGGCTCCTTGCCGTTTGCCCGGTACTCGTCTTACTGAAATGACTCTCCCAGGGGTCGCTGGCGCACAGACCCCACCCCCGCCTGCTGGTCTGAGGAATGACTGCCCACCTCAGCGCCAAGGACCCCACAGGGAGCAGGCTGCATGGGGACATTCAGTGCCGAGAGTGACCGGTCAGGAAAGGCCTCTCTGTTCCTTCACTGACCCTGTCTTGTCAGGAGCTCCTAGAGGTCATGAAACTAGAATGAAATGAAACTCCTGGGGGTGTGCTCCCTCTTTACTCATCCTGGTTTTGGGGTTCAGCACAGTCCACACAGGAGCCACGCGGGGACAGCGGGCCACGCTGAGGCCTTAAGGGAGGGGGACAGAGCCCAACAAACCAATCCCACGTGGTCAGAGCCTGTGAGGGGCGGGGGAGGGGGGATCACAGCCCAGGGAGGAGGAGCCTCCAGGCCTGCAGGGCCACCCGCCTGAAGGCACCCTGGGGACACCTGCCCTAGGCCCGCCCGCCAGAGACAACAGAAGGGGCGAGGCCCAGGGTGATGGCGGGTCAGGGCAGGGCATGTGGGGCTCAGCACCCGGCGCAGCTGACGGCTGCCCCACCAGCCAATAGGCCCTGTCGCACAGCAGCCTCAGAGGCCTGCGGCAAGCAGCAGGCTGCACGCTCATCCCAGCGCATCCCACCCCGACAGAGAGGCCCCAGGACGTGGCCGCTGAGGCCTAAGAGACACCTGCCAGTCACGGGACGGGTCACTGACGTTCTTCCATCAATTCAGCATCTTCCCAAAGGAAGTTACAAGGAGAACTCCAACTGCCAGCCGACACCTGCAGCCACGGGGATGGGTCTTCACACGAGTCACCGCCCCCCACAGACACACACACCCTGCTCCTTCCTCAAGTCTCCAGCACCTCCTGCCGATGACCTGGTTTCAGGAAACAGGAAAGGAGGAAAAAGCCCAGAAGCAACAGGGAGGGAGGGCTGGCGCCGTGGGGGGCTCCCCAGAGGGTGCCACTTAGTCCCTCCCCCCTCGCCCCTCCCGCCACAATCCTCTTCCAGGTTTCATTGCAAAAACCTCTGTGTCAGCTCTCCTCCCCTATTCCTATCCCTCAGGCCTCCCCCAACTTTCTAAATGACCCAAACCTGGATAGGCCACTCAAGCCAGTCCCAGCCCTGCCGGACAGTGTACACAAGCTCCGGACGAGGGGACCGAGACACGGCGTTAACTGAGCACGAGGACACCGGAGGGTCAGCGAGAAAGACAACGCCACTGGCCCAAACGAGGACCAGACCACAATGCTGACAGGACAGCAGCGTCTTCCACGGGGCCTTGCCCAGGGATTCCGGAGCCTCTCACGCTAGCCCGGGGTCTGGGTGCGAGCGAGATGGATCACCCTGTCCACATCTGAGTAAAATGAGACAGCCAATGATGGGCCAAGGGGCGCCGGGGCCGGGCATCGCACTGCAAGTCTTTCAACTCCACCGTATGTGTGGATTTTCACGCCAAATGCTGGGGGGAAATCACTGCTCCCGTGACGCTCGTAGTTTAACAAAAGAAGACAACTGCTGAAAGTCGCAGCGCTGTAAATAATCACAGGGTGAGCACGCCGGGGCAGGTGAACAGCCGGTGAGGTAAGACGGTGTAGACGGCTGAGGCCACTTTGGGAGAAGACGCCACCTCGGCAGAGGCCTGAATGGCATGAGGGCGGCGGTCATGCAGAGCCTGGGAGGGCCCTGTGCACAGGCCTGGCCAGCAGCCCGCCAGGCAGATTGAGGCAGGGAGGTGGCTGGAGCAGAACAAGCAAGGGAGAGCAGGAGGGCGCAGCAGAGGACAGGAGTGTCACACCGAGGCCACTGATGGGCTCTGACTCAGAGATGAGGACGGGAGCAGGTGAGCAGCCAGGGCAGGTGAGGAGCCGGGGCAGGTGAGGAGCCGGGGCAGGTGAGGTGCCGGAGCAGGTGAGCAGCCGGGGCAGGTGAGGTGCCGGGGCAGGTGAGGTGCTGCGCAGGCACATCTGGCTCTGCCTGGCGCCCGGCCCCAGCGTGTGACAGTGGGGGGTGGGGGGTGGGGGCGGGCAGGACCAGTCGAAGGGGTGTGGTTGGTGTGGGTGAAGCAGAGGCTGAGAAGGAATCCGATGCTGGACCTGCTCGGAAGGCAGAGCCACAGGAGCGGCTGAGTGGGCAGGAGAGGCGAGGCCGCCCAAGGGGACGGGGAAGCCAGGGAGGGTTCCAGGGAAGGAAAGGGCGGGTCCGTGTGAGATATTCTTGGGAGACAGGGAGCCGCTCAGGATGGTCAGCCTGGGGATGAGTGGGGTGGGCGCTGACACTCCCCAAGACCCCCGAGGGAGCAAGACGGACAGAAAGGAGGAGCCGTGGAAGGAAACCCGTGTGAAGACCGCGACCCTAGGCAGTGAGAGGCCATCGCACCTGTGCCCACTGCCGCGGCCATGCCCACAATGAACCCGCCAGACAAGCCGCTGCGGGGGCCCCGCCCGAGCCCCACCCCAACTCGGTCACCCCCGCACCTCGCAAAGCACAGGTGGCTTCCCGACCTGCAGGACCTTCTCACTGTCGGCTGAGGCAGCTGCCCCTCCTCGGCCCCCAGCCCCGCACCGCCATCCTCCCACCCAGCTCCTGTCCAGCTGGTGGTGAAGCAGAATCACCAGAGGGAGGTGGGTGGAATGGGAGGTACCCAGGCAGGACTGCAGGCGGGGAGCCCGAGGAGTTGGCCAGGTGTCTGAGAAACGACAAGTAACGCAGGGGCCGGGCAGCCCCCAGGCCGTATACATGGGAGGGTACGGGCACAGAGCTGCTGGCCACAATGCCCAGATAGATGCCACAGACACCGACAGAGAGCAGAGCGGGGGAGCGGAAAGAGGGGCTGGGGGTGCTCTCAGATGCGGGAAGAGGCACAGGGCTGGAGCACAGGTGAATCTGCCACCAGCAGCTCAATGGCAGATGCCACACAGGGACCTTCACGTCCCAAGAGAAGGAGACTGTGCGCCCAGAATCCCAGACAGCAAACACACCTTTCAGGAACTAGAGAAAGCAGCACATGTCTCAGTCCCTGTGAGCAAGCACCAGCTTATCAAGGTAACACTGCCCCTGGGAGGATGGGGAGAGGCCACCAGAGGCAGCAACCCATCAGGAGGAGGGCAGTTACAAGGGTTAACCTTGCAGCGCGAAGTCCGTACGTTAACATTTCCAGGAT